GGGTCATTGCTAAAACGTCTCATACTCGAGGGACATGACTGTATTTCCGAGGCGACGAGCGAGGTTACCCTAGATGTGCGCGTGTGAAAAGTGTGTTTGATTCAAGTTAATTTGATCTTGGAAATTAGGTTAACTAGCGATTGATTTTTTTGATATTTCCATACACACCTAATTACTATACAGTAATAAGTAAAATAATAAAAATGTGGAAATTGAAATTCTACGCTATTACAGAGCTTCGGGAATGGGGGTACAAATTAATGAATGGGGGTGACAGTAAGAAATAAATATTTAAATCACACAATACAAGTCCAAACCGTTAAATAATTATTTAGGTTAAAACAATTTTCATTTGATAAAATTAATTAAGGACTTAATTAATAATGTCAAACAAAAATTATTTTAAAATTAATAATCATTTAAAACAAATATCAACATATTTACAATTTTTAAATGTATGCTGAAAAAATAAAAATCAAATAATGAAAAGGAAATATTAACAACAAAAAAATATAAAGGGGAAAACTAGAAATGGGCCTGCAAATGGAGTAAAACAGGGGGGTGTAGAAATTAAAAAGCCTAAATATTTATGGCTAATCAAGTGTAGCAACCCCCTGGAGGTGTACCATGGGCGTGCATCTAAGATGTGTTGAAAGGGATGTGATAAATGATCAGATGGATGGATGATGAGGGCGCATCAGATTAACATGGGGATGCAAGTGGGGGATCATCCAGGGTGACTAAAGGGGTGGTGACAAGTGTCACCACCGGATTGCGCCGAGCATTATTATCAAATAAAACAAAAAAAACTAAGTGACTAAGCTGAAGCCAGGCCTCATAATTCATTGTTTTTTCTCTCTCTAAACGCTCTCCCCTCTCTCTTCTCTCTTACTCTGAGCCTTCACCGGAGAAGACCCTTTGGCCGCGCCGGAAATCGCCTTACGGCAGTGACGGCGGCGACGTGTTTCCAAACCCTATTTTTCTTACATCTTTCTGGTCGTTTCTTTTCCCTAGTTACTAATTTATGATCAATTTCTGCAGATTCTCATTTGATGACCCTAAATCTAGATAGGGGAAAACGAAACGCAAATTCTCTGTTCGGTGAGATCGGTGAAGGTAACGATGCATGCAACGATATATTCAATGAGAGTATAGGAAAGAGAAGAAGGAGATCGTTGGTGAGGTCCGGATCTGTAATCTTACTAACCTCCTAAAGCTTTTCCGGTAAGACTGTTCTGGTTCTGCTTGTAAGTCGCTTTCTCTCTTCTTTTGGTAGCTTGCTGTGATTAGATCTTTTCTGGAAGGGTTTTTGAACAAATAGAAAATGATGATGATGATTAGGGTTTTTTGCTGCTTGTTTAAGTTATTGATTTGCTGGGTTTTTTGTATTCTGAATGGATTTTGAAAAGGAGAAAAATGATGAACAAAATATTTGGCTTTTTGCTGTTTGTTTGAGTTACTGATTTGCTGGTTTTTTTTTAATAGTGATGTTTGATGGCTGTTTTTGATACTTGCTAGTTTTTAGTGATGGCTTGATGGTTGTTTTTGATGGATGCTGGTTTTTAGTGATGGTTTGATGGTTGTTTTGATGGATACTGTGATGTTCTGGTTTTAGTGATGGTTTGATGGTTGTTTTGATGGAAACTGTGATGTTCCAGTGTGTTTGAGACAAAGGGTTTTCTGGAACTTTTGGTTCTAAGTTTTTTTGTGGCTTGCTAGTTATGTTTGCTTCTCTTCTGTTCTGGTTTTTTATGATGTTTTGTTGGCTATGTTGGCTTTTGGTTTTTACAGTGTTGGCTTTGGTTCTATGATGTTTCAGTAGGTTTGAGACAAAGGACTTTGTTGAACTTTTTGGTTCTGAGTTTTTTGTGGTTTGCTATTTGCTAGTTCTGTATCTCCCTTGATATCTGATGGTTCTCTCCTCTTTTATAAAACCGTCATCCTTGTTTATCTGGTTAGGGTGAAAAAAGGAGGGAAAAACTTTGAATTTTGACAGTTTTGGCTTTTCTAGTTTTGGGCTTTTGAGTGCAGTTTGAATTGTTTCCATTTTGGTGCAAGTCTGAATAGGTTTTTTGGACTGTAATGCATGCTAGTTTGCTGTGCTTTATTTTGACATGCTTTTATGCAGAACTTGGACAGGTCTTGGACTGCTATGGGTAGCATAATGAGGCTTTTTGAGCAGGCCTTCTTGGACTATTTTTTATAGCAACATGTTTGTCTTGGCATGGATTTAGGTTATTTGCTGGCTAGGTGATATCTTTCCTCTTTCCTCTCTTTATGAAATAAAGCACTTTTTGCTTTTGATGCATTTTCTGAAGGGTTTGCTTGTTTTTTTAGGAAAATGAGGATGTTTGACTTGTATTGCAATATCTGATGCATTTGGCTTGTTGCTTGCATTTTGTTTGTTTTGTTCTATTGCATACATGTGTTGCTGCCTTTGTTTATTACATGTTGGTCTGCAACACTTGTTGTGGGTTTGTTGCAGGTTTGGTTCTGATTTGGACAACTTGCTTGTTGTCTCCTATTTGCAGCCTGTTGCCTTACATCTTGTGTTGCTGTAATTGCTTTGCAAAGCACTACTTTTTTGTGATGCAGTTTGGCTGTTGGTATTTTTTGACTTGTGCATTTGACTGCTGCTGTTTGCAGCCCGTTGCTTTTGTTGATGTTTGAACTGTTTGTATTTTTCTCTTTTTCCCCTTTTTTTGTGAACCAAGACCTAGGTTTTGAGATTTGCAAAAATAGGGAGAAATGGATGGTGATAAAAACAAACAAAATTCTGATTCCTAAAAGCTAACCCTGGTGATGAAAATCATTTTTGCTTGGACTTTTCAATGTTGATTATTTGCTAATGTTTTCTCTTTTCTTCTGTCACATGTACAAACAAATGGCAAGCAAGACAAGATGAAGAGAAGACCATGGCTAGCAATGGGGAATTTCTTGAAGATGAAGCAAAGAGACTTGAAGAAGAAGCAATTCTTTCCTTGTAGATTTGACTTTGTATTTCACTTGTAATCTACTTGTAATCATTTGTAATCATTTTGTGAATGACCCACAAAACTGTAATGAACACAAATCTTGAGTAATAATGAAATTTGTTGTACAAAACTCTGAGTTTTAGTTTAATTTTGAAATTCTTGATTGAATGTTTGGAATAAAACATCTTGGCTTGATAACTTGCATTTCAAGTAAACATAATATGATAGGATAAATCATGTATTTTACACTCTTAAACAAAATAAATGTTTAAAAGCTCAAACCCAAATGATTAATTGAACCCTCAATCATGATTGCTTAAAATGATAGTTTTAGACTTTGCACCTTATTCAAACAGAATATGCTCTCAAAAATAACATCAATCCTCAGAAGATTATAGTTAAGAAAACAAATAAAAATCACACAAATTCCTTTTCAGTTATCTGGGCCATGGATTGGGCAAACTTGCAATGTGGGGTTTGAAAATTGACTTAACAGACTTTGAGGAGACATGTTGATTTATTTGAAACCTTGATGACTCAAATTCCTTTGAGAAGTGCAAAACCCTAATTGCTGACTGGTTTCCTAGGAAGAGAATATGCTTGATCAACTTTTGAGCCAAATTGAGTGTTTGAGAAACCCTGAGATAGCATCTTGAGTGAAAAAGGGAGGGCAAATTTTGGGGTACAACATTGTTTAAATCAGAATCTGAATTGTTTTGTCATTATCAAAAAGGGGGAGATTATTAGAATAAAGTTTGGTTCTGATCATATCTTAGAGTTTTGATGATAACAATAAAATAAATTTTGTATAATATATTTATACTTTGATGTGCATGTTTTCTAATTCAGATGATGTTCTGACTCAAGCATTCTCAAAAGTGAAACATCATTCTACGCAAGTCTGAAGCAAACTCTGAAGGAAGCACTCCAAGGAAAACTCTGATGAAAAGTAATCTTAAGCAACCTCTGATAAAGCTAGCTGAAGTAAAGATTTGAAAGAAGCATGATGAAAGTAATATCTGATAATGCAAGCTGAAGCAAACTCTGATGAACATAAAATGAAGAAAACTCTGACAGAAGAAGTGATATAGCAAACTCTGATTGAAGAAAAGTTAAAGCAAACTCTGATGTTGCAATGCTGCAAGCAAACTCTTAAACTTCTAGAGACAAGCTCTGTCAGTACCGTTGATCATTTAATGCTAAGACGGCTAACGCACTCAAGTGATACTACGCGTGAGAGCATTAGAAACATAAAGGTTAAGCTAACACGCATCATTAATGCATACACTCTCTTCAAGGCAGTAACAGTCAAAACTTGAAGCTATATATAGAAGACCATTTGTTTCAAAGCAAGGTTATTGATCCATGCAAAGATAATGAAGCTCACTATTTTCATACTTGTAAACTCTTTGTATATACAATGGGTAATTCTTAAAGTACTGGACCAAAATCTTAGTGATAAATCACAGTTTGTGATATAGCTTATTAGAAGTACTCTGATTCACTACTGTTAAGAGATAATTATTGTAATTGTTCCTTGAGAGATCAGTTGGGTTAGATTTCTCAAAAGGGCTAGGACTAGTTGAGTCTTAGAGGTGTTAGTCACAAAAGTTTGGTTGTGCATTGTAATCGTTCCTTGAGAGACCAGTTGGGTCAGATTTCTCAAGAGGGCTAGGACAAGTTGAGTCTTAGAGGTGTTAGTCACTTGCAGTTGACTTGTGCATTATACTGTTAGTCACAACAGTTTGGTTGTGTATTTGTAATCAGTTTTGATTATAGTGGATTAAGTCCTCGTTGAGAGAGGCAAAATCACTTTGGCGGGTGGATTGAAGTAGTTTGAGTATCAAACGAACCAGGATAAAAATACATGTGTTCTTCCATTATTATTGCGCAAAAAAAAGGAAAAACTTATTCAACCCTCCCCCCCCCCCCCCCCTTCTCACCCTTCAGGACATTGATGATATAATTAAGAGATGTTATACTTGCTAGATTTCTAAAGGTTATTCTCAAAATATTGGTTTTTATATGCCTTTACATACTCCTGATGATATTTTGCAAGATATAGCCATGATTTTTGTATTGGGCTTGCCTTGTACACATCGAGGTATAGATTATGTGTTCGTTGTAGTAGACAAATTCTACAAGATGAAAAACTTTATTACTTGTAACAAGACTGCTGATGGGTCCAACATAGTCAAACTGTTTTTCAAGGAGATTATGTGTCTTCATGGGGTTCATACGACAATTACTTCAGACATGTACAACAAAATTTCTAGTCATTTCTGTATTATTCTATGGACATTGTTTGGAACATGCTTTCATGTCATTTGCCTTTGCACTTTTCAGTTTCTAGCACTAAAAGCAGTGAATATTTTATAGAGAGTGTAAAGGATCATGCATAGAAATGCTTTATCGCTTAGGACAATGAATGTAGTTTTAAAGAGGATCGAATTTACCGTCTAAAAAAGAATAACATTGCAACTTGTTGCTTGTTTGTCTACTATTTCTGTATACTTAAATTTGATTTAGTTAATGCATTTAGTTGGTTAGAGATTTTTACTCTAATTGATTTTTTTTTATCTCAGGCCTTTAAATTATGTGTGTTCATAGTTTCTGAACTACAATTAACCAAATCACATTTATGATTCAACTATGTTTTCAATAAGCACTTCAATAAAAATTCAATTAACTGATAAAATAGTTCAATTCAATTTAAAATTAGTTTAAAACTAATTTATATTTGAAAACTAGTTTATAATTAGTTTGCAATTTAAAACCAATTTTATATTTTGAACTATTTTAAAACCAATGTTATTTTTTGAAATTTATTTTTTAGAAAAATATTTTTTCCGGAAATATGTATATATATTTTTTAGAAAAAACATATTTATTTTCAGAATTTATTTTTCGGGACATTATATTTTTTTTTGGAAAAATATATTATTTTATTTGAAAAAATATTTTTTTCTTTCTGAAAAAACCTTTTTTCTAAATTTTTTTTCAGATATATTTTTTTAAACTAATTTATATAATCAAACCAATTTACAAAAAAATAAAAGTTTTTAAATCAGTTTTAATCAAATTTGAGTTGTTTTAATTAAAAAATTCAGTTTATTAAATATTATAATGATTCAGTATTTTTATAATATAATTCAGTTCAATTCAATTAATGATATTTTTGAATACTCAATTGTAGAGTTTGATTTTTGATGCGCTGCAAATTGTCAACAACTTCTCTCCCACATTTGTTCAACTAGTGAAAACTTCACATCTTACACCCCTTATGAATCAAATTTGAAAACACTCGTTAACTCACTTATCTATAAGACACCTTCAACGGGTTTTGGCATTGGATCAGTCGGTCTGACCCAATACCAAAACCAACAAGCATACGGCCTCGCTATTTGTCGTGGAGATGTATCGACCTCACAATGCAAAACTTGTGTTTCAGAAGCAACTAAAGAAATTCTAAATCTTTGTCCATTCAATAAGGGTGCTATTATATGGTACGATAACTGCATGTTCAAGTACTTGGACAATGATTTCTTTGGCAAAATTGATAATTCAAACAAGTTCTCTTTATTGAATGTACAAAATGTTGATGATCCTATCAAATTCAACAACGTTACTAAGGACTTATTGAGCCTACTTGCTTATGAGGCTTCTATGGATAAGAAAATGTATGCGAATGGAGAGTTGAAGATTGGAGAATTAGAGAGAGTTTATGGACAAGCTCAATGCACTAGAGACCTGTCTAGTGTTGATTGTAAGAAGTGTCTTGATGATGCAATTAGTGAAATTCCAAATTGTTGTAATGGAAAAAAAGGAGGAAGAGTTGTTGGTGGAAGTTGTAACGTTAGATATGAAATTTACCCGTTTGTTAGGGAGTAAACTTATACATGTTTGTACACGTCATTATTATGGAATAAGATTTGTTTAGGTTTGTTTTATTTTAAAAATTTGATTGTTTCTAAGCATGAAAAGTCTATTTATTAAGGAACCTTCATTCATAATAAAAGCCTCGATATATAGGAATATCATATAAAAATTGAGAACTAGTGATATACATGGCCACCATAACTAAAACATGGACAATCATGAGTAAATATTAGGGAATTTCTTATCCAGGTGGAAAAACAACTTATTAAAATTTGAAAATGTCTCTCTGAATCTAAAATGTTTTTTAGACACACCATAAATATATTAAAGTCATGCATAAGTGAACCATACTCTTATTTTATAAAAAAAAATAATTTAAAAAAAAATTTTGAAATCCGAAAATATATTTTCATAAACAACCAATATGTATTATATCAAGAAGTTGAATTTTTTTTTTGAATAACCAGGTATTAAAATTTTTTTTCGTAAATAACCACGTTTCGGAAAAAATTACACAAATAACCATGTTTCAGATGACTCCCCAAAAGAGGAGCCATCTCACTTGGCGCCTCCACCTAGGGTTTTGCCTTAGGCGCCATCTCACTTGGCGCCTCCTCTCTCTTTTAGCCAAGTGAGATGGCGCATGCACTTTAAAAGTGAGAGGATGCGCCATCTCACTTGGCTCCTAAGGTAAAATGTTGTTTTTATAAATAATTCGTCTGTTTCTCCGTCATTTCTCACACTTTCTCGCACTGTTTTCTTTTTTTTTTACTCTGTTATTTACGTCATGACATCGCCCATGATTTTTACCAGAGATGGTTACGTTATCTTCTCCGCCACGAAACCTGCGATGAAAATGAAATTCTGGCACATTCACTCCATGGAGCGTCTGAAGCGGGAGTTGATGCGATGGCTAGATGGAGACATTGTGGAGGGGGGAAAAATTCCAAGGATCTAGCGAAGACGAACAACAACCTCACATGCGACTGGAAGACCTAATGTATGGTTGGAGGAAGTCAAAACAGACAGCGACGTAATGTTGATGATGCATGGGTCAGATGAAATTGTTTTAACAGTTGTAATTTCGTAGACGAAATATCGTGTTTTTTTTCTTGTACGCGCAATATTTATTGTAGCAAATACTATTAACGAAAAACCCTAATGTTTACAACATAATTAAGGAAAGATTTTATGTATTACAATTTTTATGTGGTCGAGGCAGACGCCCGATTCGGACAATTTTTGCGATTGTGTCCGACCTGAAGGCATAAACCACACTTTCTTTCCAGCTTGTCAAGGTCGTCCATTTCGGTTGTGATGCGCTTACTTTTGCGACGACCCTTCTTGTTCCATCGCATTTGGTCATTGTGCCACACTATTTCGTCGTCGTATGCAGGCCAATAATCTGGTTTTGCTACCAAAGGAAAGTTGTTGTTGTAAACGTTGAGCAACGTTTCAGATTTGTAAATGTGTGACAGAAGTTGTAGCGTGTCTTGATGGGTATAAGCACAAGCGGAAATGACATGAGAGCAAGGCATATGAAAGGCTTGAAACTTGCCACAATCGCACTAACGAGAAGGTAGTATGACCCTATATTCTTGTCTTGGCAGGCCTTCGTTGTGGTCGATTGTCTCTTTCACAATGAAGTTGTGGTTGTGTCGGTCAAACCGTATAACCATATGAGTGTTGGGTTTGGCACTTTCTTCCTTAATGTACTTCATGCAGCTTTCACTCCATAGTTGTCCAGATTGCAACACCGCATTCCACATTTCACCTCTTTTGGAAAACAACGAAGCCATCTTAAAATACGTAGATTTTACCAAAGCAGTGATCTGGAGGTTTCGTATGCCTTTGAATACCTCATTCATCGATTCAATAAGATTCGTTGTCATGTGCCCCCATCTTTGGCCATTATCGTATGACCTAGTCCATTTTTCCACTGAAATATTGTCGATCAACCTACCGGCTTCCGGATTTGACAAACGGATCTCGTTGCGGTAATATTTGAACGTGGGTTGTGTCAATGCATATCCCGCATTCATAACCGTTTTCCTTAGTGTTTTTTCCTTGATCTCCCTTGTGAAATTTTGGACGATATGCCTAACGCAATAGACATGCGTAGAAGGAGGGTCATGCCAACCGTTTGCAGGATTATTGTAGGCACTTTCAATGGAGGAATGTTTGTCCGAATCAAATAGAGATCTGGTTGACGAGCCACGTGTGTTCGCGGGTTTTTCAGAAAAAGCTCCAAGCACCACCGGTCTCCCCCTCGACTAGGGCAAAGGCAATTGAGAAAATGTTGTTGTTGCCATCTTGTGCAACTGCCACCAGTAGCGTACCTTTGTATTTCCCATACAACCAAGTCCCATCAATTTTTATAATTGGTTTTCATGATGCAAACCCTGTGATGCAAGGTTGAAATGCACAAAACACTCGACTGAATATTCCGTTTCCGTTTAGTTGACTACCATCTTGGCCGTATGCTGACACTGTTTCCAGAATGTAAACAGTACCCGAAGAATAAGTCTTGAGTGCATTCAGGTAGCGAGGAAGTTCTTGGTATGACTCCTCCCGGTTTCCGTACACCTTTTCAATCGCCTTGGTCTTTGCTAACCACGTCTTACGGTAAGACGGAGTATAGTTAAAAACCATGGTGATGTGGGAGATGATGGTTTTCACCTTCAAAGATGGGTCATTGCTGACAGTGGTAGGATTTCTTGACAAATGAGATCGTGATTAAGTTTTTGATGGTCCTGTGATTGGGTAGAACTGACACAAGTGTGGGTAGTCATGGAACTTATGACCCAGCAATCACCTCTTAATCTGTATGATGCAGTGAGCTTGAACATACAGTCAGGGTGGACACACTTGATCTTGTACCTTTCTGGGTTGACACGGTCCACCTTAAAATCGACCGAGTTGAGCATGTGGAATTTTTTTATGGCTCTGATGCATTCCTCTCTGTTACGAAACTTGTCCTTCTCTTTTAAGTTTTCATCCGACTGCATATACGGATTGAAAAATAAATCAGAAGACGGTTCATCTCCGCCCATGTTGAAGTTTTGTCATGTGCGGAGGTGGTGTGTAGATCTCGTTTGCAGGAATACTAGGTATGCCATCATCGTCGGAATCATCATTCACCATTTCATCAAACTCTAACTCGTCATCTTCTTCTTCTTCATCAACTGCATCTACCTCTGCTTGTTCGTTCTCCAAAGGATCAACCACTTGTGTCACCTGAGGCTCTCGCAGCATAATGTACAACTCAATAGAGTCATACCCAGAATACACATGGCTGGAAAACATATTCTAAAGATCCTCGTCATCTTGAACCTCGACCTTATAAAATATTATTTGGTGGTTTCCATAAAAAACTGGATTCTGATAAAATATTTGTGTCATTGGGCCTCGTCCAAGTTTGGCCTCCAATCGTTTTTTGAAGTAGGAGAAATTGGATTTCCCGTTTAAAAGAAATCAGATGTTGTCTGTGTCTCTAAACAAAAACTCAGAGGTGGGACAAATGTATGTCTCACCGTTGAAATGTGCATTGATGACATATTGGGGTGCAGAGGCCATTGCGTATGGTTGTGTGGAGGTTTGAAGGTATGAATGTTTGAAGTTTATGAGTTATTCGAAGGTTTGTATGTTTGATTGTTTAAAGGTTTGAACGTTTGATTGTTTGAAGGTTTGAAGGTTGGAATGTTTGAAGGTTGGAATTTTTGAAGTTTATGAGTTATTCGAAGGTTTGTATGTTTGATTGTTTGAAGGTTTGAAGGTTTGATTGTATGAAGGTTGGAAGGTTTGACAGATTAAGTGAATCAGTGTTTTGATAAATGTAAGACTAAATAGGTCATACTGAATTTGAATTAAGTAAGGATGCAACCTCCAAGGCTGCCACCTAGCCTGCGCCTACTCTGCACCTACATTGTAACATGTAAGTCTCCTCCCATCACCTCCAATAGTGTTACATGCATTCAGGCATGGCTTCTCCAAGGATGTCACCTAGCCTGCGCCTACTCTGCAACCCGTGCCACCTATTATTCGCCAATGGGGATGGCGACACCTTTCATTTTTGTACTCTTTCGCCAAGTCCAATGGCGCCTCCCTTAATGTCCAATCGTGTTACATGCATGCAGAGATGCCTTCTCCAAGGCTTCCACCTAGCATGCGCCTACTCTGCACCTACACTGTAACATGTAAGTCTCCTCCCATCACCTCCAATAGTGTTACATGCATTCAGGCATGGCTTCTCCAAGGCTGTCACCTAGCCTGCGCCTACTCTGCAACCCGTGCCACCTATTATTCGCCAATGGGGATGGCGACACCTTTCATTTTTGTACTCTTTCGCCATGTCCAATGGCGCCTCCCTTAATGTCCAATCGTGTTACATGCATGCAGAGATGCCTTCTCCAAGGCTGCCACCTAGCCCGCGCCTACTCTATACCTACACTGTAACATGTAAGTCTCCTCCCATCACCTCCAATAGTGTTACATGCATTCAAGCATGACTTCTCCAAGGCTGTCACCTAGCCTACGCCTACTCTGCAACCCGTGCCACCTATTATTCGCCAATGGGGATGGAGACACCTTTCATTTTTGTACTCTTTCGCCAAGTCCGATGGCGTTTCCCTTAATTTCCAATCGTGTTACATGCATGCAGAGATGCCTTCTCCAAGGCTGCCACCTAGCCTTTCCTACTATGCACCTACACTGTTACTTGTAAGTCTCCTCCCATCACCTCCAATAGTGTTACATGCATTCAGGCATGGCTTCTCCAAGGCTGTCACCTAGCCTGCGCCTACTCTGCAACCCGTGCCAACTATTATTCGCCAATGGGGATGGCGACACCTTTCATTTTTGTACTCTTTCGCCATGTCCAATGGCGCTTCCCTTAATGTCCAATCGTGTTACATGCATGCAGAGATGCCTTCTCCAAGGCTGCCACCTAGCCTGCGCCTACTCTATACCTACACTGTAACATGTAAGTCTCCTCCCATCACCTCCAATAGTGT